TATGCCAAGGGCTTTGGTGGCCAATATGGAATCCAGAAGGACCGAGTGGATAAGGTAAACACAGGACACCATGGTCCCAAGAGTGTCTCTATGGTTAAGAAGATGCATGAAGGATAGCAAGAGAAAAGAGATGCCAGAAGAAAAGTGGAACTCTTGGAGCTGGATCCTGAGCCTGGAGTGTTGGGCCTTAATACCTAAGGAGCATGAATTCTATGCCCTGAGGTTTAACTGAGAAGAGTGGAGGGTGGCAGAGTCAGAGAGGAAAAATAGACACCAGGGAAATCAGACACAACATTTCAGGCATTTCTTAAACTTGTCTAAGTCTCTTCCTGCTCCACATCACTGTCATATAGGCTCAACACCTCTGCTTCCGGCATAAGCAAGGGCCTTGCTTCCTTCTTGGTAACTGGGCTCAGAAACATGAAATTCTAAGTCCGCTGAGCTTTCAAAGAGGGAGCTGAGCCCACCAGTAGAGTTCTTTACCCATCTCTTCCACTGGATAATATTGGAGAACCCAGTCCAACTGTTGCTTAGTACATGGCTATGGATGCCTCTCAGGGTGGCCCTATCCCCTAGTCTGGCTTGTGGATCACTACCCCCCTGCTTCATGTCACTGTACACACTGTTCTTCTGCCTACAGAGTGCTGTTGGCTTCAATGAAATGGAAGCCCCAACCACAGCGTATAAGAAAACCACACCCATAGAAGCCGGTTAGTCTTCATGGTTCCCTTCTCTGTGCCCTTCAGCCTCCTTTCTCTTCTGACTCTCTCTCCCCCAAGACTTCCCCTTGCGTGCCTTTAACCACCGAAATTAGCCAAGGAAGATGAGACCCTTAGTCTCAAAGTTCCAGAGTCTTGTCCCTAGAAAATCCAGACCAACTGGACGACAAGAGGAGTGGAATTAGGAAGGGCCTAGGGGCAGAGACACACAGACACGAGTGAGGAGTTACCTGGGACAGACGGGCAGAGTAGACCCTTGGGATGGGGAATAGGATGGTGGTGGGTGGAGACACAGAGATTTAAGGAATGTGGACAGAGAAAGATGCTGGTTCAAGGACTCATAATTTTGGAAGGACAAATGGTCCTTTGGTCACATGGAATCTGGGTTTCAATACCATCAGATCCTTAGGTCGTCCTGCTCTCTCACTCCTTCTGTACCATCCCCTCCATGAGTCACCCCCTCATCTTCTCTCCTCCGGCATGTTTAGCAGATTTCTCTCCTTCCTATCTCCAGCTCTAGCCTGTCTCTCCACTCACAATCCGAGACACCCTTCATTTTTCTTGTCCGTGTCTGCAGCGTCCAGCGGTGCCCGTGGGCTGAAGGCAAAGTTCGAGTCCATGGCGGAGGAGAAGAGGAAGCAAGAGGAAGAAGAGAAGACACAGCAGATGGCCAGGCAGCAACAGGAGCGAAAGGCCGTGGTAAAGATGAGCCGCGAAGCTCAGCAGCCATCGCAGCCTGCGGAAGAACCAGCAGTGCCAGCCCCTTTGCCCAAGAAGATCTCCTCAGAGGTGAGTGCCTCATCTTGGGGGAGGGGGGTCCAGGATCTCTCGCCTAGACAGGCGTCTCAGGTGCCCAAGTGGTAGGCAAAAGCAAATAAAGACATAAGCATGTACATAAATAAATAAGTAAATAAAAAGAAGGCAGATGTCTCCTTGTTGAGCAGAGTCTGGTGTACTTGTCTTTGAGAAGATTCAGTATGTATAATTGGCCCCAGGAAGCAGGTCAAGAAGAAAACAAAGCCACCAAGTAGAGACTCTATAATAGAGTCTAACAGATGGCAGGTCACCAGCTGCAACCAGTGGCCTTCGCTGTCCCAACTAAAGACGGAGGAGGAGCCATCTCCTCCAATGTGGGACCTATCTTGAGGGATGAGTTGTACTGGACTAGCAGACAACACATCTGGAAGGGTTCCTGGTAAGTATAAGAGAGAACATGGCGGGTGGGTGTTCTTCAGGTTTGGCCTCCAGCCGAGAGTCACCCACCCCCGGAACCCGAGCCTGTGAGAAGCGGAAGGGAACACCCTGTGCCTTCTCTGCCCAGGATGCAGACTCCACCGCAGAATCCCCTGGAGGTAAGCGGTGCCCTAGAGAGTCTCAGTTCCCATCCCATCTTCTCATGTTGGGGGCTGTAGAGGGGCGGCCAGTCATGGGGCTTTGCTTGCTCTGGTTTAAGCACTGAAAGCCTTGTATTCTGGAAACTCCCCGGTCCTGAGCAAACTTGGACAGCTGGTTCTCTTAGCTGCGGTATCCCGACAGTGTGCTTTTGCTTTGATGTCTCCCTGGTTTCCCAAAGACTCTGCCTTGCTTTACATACCCCTCACCTCACACCTTGAGTCCCCTCCTGCCACTTCTGGGTAGGTGCTTTGAGAAGGCAAGTGTTTTAGGAGACTGGGGAATGAAGAACAGACCATTTCTGAGGAAAGGCTTCTAAATGGCAGGGAAGAGGTCGGGTGGTGAGGCTGGGAGCAACCCTATTAAGTCATGATTGAATCCTCCTGGTCCACACATCTCTCCTCAGGACAGCGAGGAGCCCCCAGCTCTGCCCCCTAGGACCCCAGAAGGCCTCCAGCTGGTGGAAGAACCGGTGTATGAAGCAGCGCCTGAGCAGGAGCCTGAGAACGACTATGAGGATGTTGGGGAGCTAGATCGGCAGGAGGAGGATGCAGAGGGAGACTATGAGGATGTCCTGGAGCCTGAGAATACCCCTTCTCTGTCCTACCAGGCTGGTGAGTGGGGTGAATGGGCAGGGCAAAGCAGCTCCCAAATGTGGTCAGTTTCTGGGCATCAGGGATAGAGGAGGAATCTCTCCTCTCCTCCCAACAGGATCACGTCTGTTCGCCTCCTCCATATCGACATTTCTATTTCTCATTATTCAGGATCATCAGCCGGGGCTGGTGGGGCAGGGACCTCTGCGGTAGCCCTGTATGATTACCAAGGAGGTAAGTTTGAAGTCACCTGAAGGGCCTGGTACACCTGTGGCCTCTGATACATAGGAAAAGGGGGTGGGTTCTGAGGGTCAAGAAAGGGCCCCAAAGACTGGGCCTGTTTCCTTCCCTAAGGCTTAGAGTTGGCACAGGCAGGGACAGAGGGGTTCCTGACTAACCATCCTAATGTCTCACCTTCCTCCTCCCCAGAGGGAAGTGATGAGCTTTCCTTTGATCCGGATGACGTCATCACTGACATTGAGATGGTGGATGAAGGCTGGTGGCGGGGCCGTTGCCATGGCCACTTTGGACTCTTTCCTGCAAACTACGTCAAGCTCCTCTAGTGACCAGCCCCATTGTCTTTTGCTACTCTGATTCCTCATGTTCAAAGTGGCGCGGCCTCCCTCTACCCACTCCACAGTACCTGCTGCAAGGACCTAATGGAACGTCATGGGCGCCTGAGGTTCAGACAGACCTCCCTCTCTTGCTTCATTAAGAGCTTTAGGCAGAGCCAGCACGAGGCAGGGGCCTTCCCTCTGTGTCCACTCTTCCCTGGAGTAGCTCACGGAATCATCTTGTGGTCCTGCCTCCTTCACCAACACCCCACTCTGCTCTTCCTCCCTCCTGAGTGCTGGTCTAGAGGGAAGCCTAGGCTGCCTGATTTACCTGGTTGTGCTTTTTGCTTGTTTTTCTTCCCTTAAGAGACAAATTGGAACTGTCCTTTTGCTTAGTCCTAAATCTGAAAATAAAGTGAGAATATGGCTTAGCTTTGTACTGGGGTTAAGTGGTGCCTTTAGTGTGCGCCTCTCTGGCCCCGACTTTCTATCCCCCTGCCAGATGCACCCGGAAGACTCCCTCTAGCCTGGTGGTTAGGATGTGGTGCTCTTAGCACTGCCCAAACCCTGAGCCTTAGGGGTCAGGAGCTAGGCCTTTTTATTTGGACATACCTTAGCCCCTGTCCAAGACAGACAAGCCTGATGTCTTAGTTAAGGTTTCTACTGCTGTGATAAAATCCATGACCAAGCCGGGCAGTGGTGGCGCACGCCTTTAGTCCCAGCACTCGGGAGGCAGAGCCAGGCGGATCTCTGTGAGTTCGAGGCCAGCCTGGGCTACCAAGTAAGCTCCAGGAAAGGCGCAAAGCTACAC